GGCACCGCCTCCCATTAGCTGTGAAAGGGTTTTCAAGGGTTATGTATTCATGGGTTTAAAGTTAATGTCACGAAGTTTCATGTTAATCCTCAAAATATATTCACTAGGAAAGCTACCCGCAGAAATAAAATGAACAGCTGCAATTTGACATCGATCAATTCAAAGTTCCAAAACGCCATCGAGAAAGTAAAGGCATTTTTATTTTTTAAAATCGCGAAATTTTGAGAATCGATAATGGCTAGGTGGCAAAATATGACCCCACACCATATTCACTATCTTAATTTTATTGCTGCGATAAATGGTCCCACATCAGTCAATACTCAAGCAAACGTACACTTTTTCACGTCTGGTAAGCATCTATGTTCCTGTTTGTTAAGGTGTGTGAGTGAATTTTTCATGTGATGCCATCAAAATCATGTGACGTCATTTGGGCCGCAGCATTTAGCGACTTTTACTTGTAAAATATGAACTAAAGTTTAACTTGTTTATTTGCGCGCGGGCAATAAACAAGAGCAATCGCACGTGCACGATACAGGGACTGGTACTTTCCAAATTCTAATCAGCAATGCATGATGGGAGTCCAATATGGCCGACTTTCAAAAAGAAGAGTATTCTTTCAAAAAAGCGCTTGGCTGTCAAGTCGTTTTTTGACATCATGGACGAAGATTCAAACAAATGAAATATAGATACAAGTATTACTACAGCAATAGCAATGACCACAAGACATTCTCGGTAATAAGGTTAAAAAGTCCCTCTCTTAATAAATCCATGAAGAATGACTACATTGTTATGCTTTTGAGCTCAGAGTAGGAGGAACTTTTCTAGAGAAAAAGAGCGCAGCTTTCTGGTCGTTTATTTTTAATTACTCTTCAGAAATAAACAATAAATTAGAAAGTAACCCACGTCGAATGTTTCCATGTACATGTATTTCATTGGTGCGGTGATTCGATCGTTTTAATGTTCGAAAAAACAGTTATTTCTCAAAGATGCAAACTTTGCACAGCAGTCAAATATATTTAAAAATATCAGTTCAGCGATAAAGGTCCACTTGCTAAGACTGTTAGGAATTTTGTCTCCAGTTCAACCTGAAGCTAACCGCTAATGACTTATTTTCATCAGTGCAATGAATGCACACGACCTTTAACAATATACCTTTAATTTCCCGAGCACAACCGAGGAGGTAAATTGGGATTTCCATTTCGTGTGCGACACAGCTTACAAACTGGGATTGACACCGACAGACCAGATATAATTCTCTCAGTGAATAACGTCATCAGTTCTTGGGAACTCAAGATCATTTGTCTCTCTGGACAACAAGAGTGCAGTTGGAACTTTCCACATGTCATCAAATTAGAAATGAAGATATTATTTTTTGCTTTGATTGCGCAGTGTTGCATCAGCTTTGCATCAGTACAAGCCTTCAGTATAACCAGAGCAAGCCATGGCAGAGACGCTTTCAAGATACCTGCTCCAATTTGCAAGCGAAATGGCACCCAGTCAGGCAGCGATTGAAAATCTTTCTACGCTGTGGATGGAGCTCGTGATTGCTCCTGTATGTATCCTGCCAGAAATGCGACGTTTGCTTTTCACAAAAGGCGATGGTCGTGCGTTGAAAACCGGAAACTGAGGAGACAATTAAATCGGGGTACGAAAATACTGTTTGTTTTAAAACAAAATTCACATTACCTGGCTTTCAATAGAATGTGTAGAAACAGAACTTTGAGCGTAGCCGGGGGGGTTGGGGGGGTCACACTGTGTCAAAGTAAGGGTACTCACCAGATTGTACATGTCATGTCGTTTTCGCCGCCTGTTGTAGGTTGTTTGTTTTCTTAAAAAAAGCTTACAAAAGGGGGAGGGGGGTCACGGGCACCTCTGGACCCCCCTAGCTACGCCCCTGAAGGGACCCTTTAACTTGTAGATTTACTTATTTTCAGGTCGTCATCATAATTGTAGGGTATTGTTCTAAAAGGGCGCATTTTTTGGAACCTCATGTTTTTCGTTTTAGGCCGAAATTAGAATGCCCTAAAAATTTTGAAAGCGTACACAAGCATTGATATTTGAAAGAATATTAGTTCTCAGGAACCTTGAGCGTATTTTGGGGAAGGACTTCTTATTTTCGGTAGCAATTTTGGACGTTAATAATTGGTGTGCTTATAACTGGAAAGAATTTACTTGTAAAAACCGATTTTAGGCACCAGTTCGTCAACAAAAGGATATCAGAATTTTTTCATCTTGAAACAGGCTACTGGTACTCATATGAACTCGACAACAGTTCTTTGAAATTGCTTTTAGTGTAAAAGTACAATGTACAATTTGATAAAATCCCGGAATAAAACCCCTAAACGGATCAGAAAAATGAACTGTGATCGATTTGTTGCTATCGACATCACCGATCTGCCAACAGCAAAACATATTTATGATATTGAAATGCTTTTAGAAAGCTTTATTTGAAATTTCTAGCTATCACTATGGTGTTTCTGAGAGAGCTTAATGGGTGGAAAAAGCGCTTTCTCTAGAGCAAGAAAAAACTTACAATTTTAATCTAGACTGTGTTTAAGCGGAATTTATTCTTTCTTGGAATCCGTTTTCGTTTGCATTCGAAATTAAGCAAATTGTTGTAACACATTTTTAGCGTCTAACGTACATTTTAAAAGTCCCGAGATATATTTGCGTTGCTTCAACCCTTCGATTCTCTGTGAATCAAAACTGCACTTATGCAATTAAGCATGAAAATGCTCCAAACCCCCCAAAAAAGAAAACAGCACCCAGAGGATCGCATCGAGCCAGAGTGTTATTTCAGTCAAGAAATTAAGTATGACAGTGAGAGCTCNGTCGATGCTTAGTGTCTTCCTATATACGAGGACATTGATAATAAATAGGTATGATAGGAACACTTAAATGGGTCAACGATGTCCGAAGATGACCATATTTCCAAACACCCAGAGGGGAGTTAAAAATACGACACGCAGCGGAGTATTTTTGAAGAACGTTGAGGTGTTGGGAAATGTGGTCAAAAACCGCCTTGAGTGTTTGATATATTTTCTCAATTGAAACTAAAACTAAGGAGAAAACGGATAGATAAAATCGTAAAAATTTGTGCTAATTAAGATCAGATATCCAAACACCGTCACGGTCATGATTTCACTTGTTTAAACTTGATGAGTTATTAATGAGTTTGTGAAGTATCTTTACACATTGGCGAACTACGAAAATTTCTGTAGATATTCAAAAGATGATAGATTAACTGTACAGCTAGCTATCAAAATGCAGCGATTTTAAGGTAAAGCTAAAAAAAATTGTAAGAGAAGATGTGAAATTCAGTGAAATTTGTGATAAATGTGTGATCAAGAAACGGACATTGAGCTGCAATTTTAGAACCAAGATAACAATGCGGTTTCAATTATTTTGTTTTTTTTCGTCTCCCAGCTCAACTATGGAAAGGTCCATTTAGGTTTACAATATATCGCTATCAGCAGAACTGTGGAAGTTAATTTTAATAGCATATTACTTTTCCCTCAGGTAAACAACAATATACCAGGGACAAATATATTCTGTGGGAAGATAATCAATTTGGTTATAGACTGCAGAGTGATACAGACTACACAACGAGTCCAATTTGATTCAGGCTGCCTTCTTTTCAAGCTTGAAGGAAATACCACATGTAAGTTCGACAGATCAACACCTAATCCGGGATACGGGGGAACTCCCATGTGAAAAGTTTGAAGATGCTCTTCGTCTCTCTTAGTGGTGAAAATCACATGCACGCATTTTGGTCTCACTTACATGTGGGGCGTTCAGGACGAAACGCCACTATTTTTAGCCGTCAAGGTTATTTTAAGGTTGCACTCGAGGAAATAATGCAAAACGCTGTCATTGTCCGTTTCAAAGCGGAATCCTTTAGCAGTCAACTATTGCTCGAACCACAACCGGATTGGTCTCGTTTAGGGTTTAATTCAAATTTTCCGACGAGGATCCCCGACCTTTCCCACGTAGGTCTCCCTCCGCGGGGTACTAATATCAATCTAGTTCTTTATTTCCCCTTACAGTTGCCAAGCTGGCACAAGTGATGTCATTAGGAAAAGTATTATCCTAATAGGGGATAATGTCTTGATGTTTTACCAATGTCCCAGAATTAGCATTTGAACCATCGCATGATCTTCAGAATTTATGTCAAATCTAAGCTTTGGAAGTCCTTTATTCTGCTCCGGCAGAAAAAAATAATCATCCGTTTTTGTTAACTTCTTGGTAAACAGACACTCTAAATAGTTTTTTACAGACCGTATCAGCTGCGATATAATTTCGCTAAATTCCATTAATCGTTAGTGGAAGAAAATGGTTCTCCACTGGATTGAGTGATAACGGAGAAAAAAATTGTTGCTGTTGTTATTGTTGATATTTAAATGTATTTGTTTCGTTGTATTTCATTTACAGAACGCTGGAGAACCCTGGATATGATGTACAGATGTAAAGTCCCAAGCTTATTTTCCAGCTATTAGACCTATTAGAAAAATATGGTTGTAAGTTAATATAATATTAGGATTAGAATTTTAGGTTTAGGATCTTAGACATTTTATTAGACTTTATTTTACCTGAATTTTTTACCGTGTATAAATAATGATTAAAGATCAAAGATTAAAGATTAAAGAACAACCTGTTTATAGACTCATCGAGGAGTTTTCAATGCCAGAAGAGGATGGACCTGAGCAAGATGGTGTTAATGACCAAGAGGAGGAACCTTATCTTGAACCTGTAGATTCAGATGGAACTGCCCATTATAATGCAACATCGCCAGAAGAACCAGTTTACCACACTTTGGAAGAGTTACACAAAGAAACTCAGTGATTATCCTAACATCATCAATGAACCAATCTATAACGTTCTTGAGTAGGAGCTTTATCCATAAGTCCTAGCAGATGGCAATAATTATGGTTTAGAGGGATAGAATAGACAAGGAGATAAATAAACAAATAAACAACCATTGTATTTGTTCGTTCAGATGAGATTCAAACGAAAACACGTTAAAGAAATATCGAGGTGTTAATAATGTACAGTCTTGAACGTACCCTAAAAATTGAACGGTGAAGGAAAACAAAGTAAACAGATGTCTTAGTTGTTGCTATACATGTATCAGAGGTCGTATAAAGGGAATTGAAATAAATTTTTTTTTTTAGAAGTACTTTGATCATCAATTTTTTTATGGGTTGATATAGATCTTTTGTTCACGGAACGGAGTTGATGTACATTTACCACTCGAGTTCTGCGTCAATGTAAACTGACCTGGTACTAAATAGAGTTTCAAGAATTTGAACTGTTTAGATTCTGGGGTCTTGCGCAAAATTACAGCATTTAAGCTTTGCTAAAAATGATCTGAACACGGTATATATACGGTTGAACCCACGTAATACCGACAGCTTTATCTATATTACCAACCGCTCAATTGTTCAAGAGCAACTCGATATTTTAAGAGAAGATTGACTTTATCTGTTTATTCCGATTAGTAACTGCACTAAAATTTCGATTGACTCCTCTTTGGTATTTATTCCATGCAGCATTTTGATCGGTTGTTACGTCATAAATCTTCAAAGCGATGCACTCCTACTTTTTGTTATTGCAATGTTTGTTTGTACAATACGAATCCTACACGTGAAACTTGGAAAAGTCTGCTATTAAGAACGGCACCGCCTCCCATTAGCTGTGGAAGGGTTTTCAAGATGTTTAAAGTTATTGTCACGAACTTTCATGTTAGTCCTCAAGTCATGTTCACTAGAAAGCTATCCGCAAATATGAGATGACCAGGTGCAATTTGGTATCAATTTAAAGTTCCAAAACGCTTTTGAAAAGGTGCAAGCATTTTTGAAAAATCGCGAAATTTTGAGAACCGATAATGGCTAGGTGGCAAAATATGACCCCACACCATATTCACTTAAAATTTATCGCTGCGAAAATAGTCCCACTTCAGTTAATATTTAAACAAACGTGCTCCTTTCCACGTCTGGTAAACATCTTTGTTCATGTTTGTTAAGGGGTGTAAGTGACTTTTTCAGGTGATGCCATCAAAACTCGTGTGTCGTCATTTGGGGCCGCAGCATTTAGCGAGTTTTACTCGTATAATATATAAGCTTAAGTCTCGCTTGTTTATTCGCGCGCGGGCAATAAGCAAGAGCACAAAGAACCACTCGCACGTGCACGATACAGCGACCGGTGCTTTGAAAATTTCTAATTATAATTAGCAATGTATAATGGGAGTCCAATATGGCCAACTCTCAAAAAGAAGAGTTTTAGAAATATTTGACTGCATGCTGTGCAAAGTATTGCACCTTTGAGAAATAACTTTTTCTTCAAACATTAAAACGATCGAATTACCGCACCAATAGAATACATAAAAACACTCTAAGTGGGGTGACTTCTATTTTATTGTTTATTTGTGAAGACCAATTAAAAATAAGCGCCGGACCAGAAAGCTGCGCTCTTTTTCTCCAGAAAAGTTCCTCGTACTCTGAGCTCAATAGTGCAACAACGTAGTCATTCTTAGCGGATTTATTAAGAGAGGGACTTTTTAACCTAATTATCGAGAATGTCTTGCGATCATTGTTATTGATGTAGTAATGCTAGTATCTATATTTCATTTCTTTGTATCTTCCTACATGATGTCAAAAAAAACGACTTGAAAGCCAAGTGCTTTTTAGAGAGAATAATATCGGTTCAGTGATAAAGGTCCACTAGCTAAGACTGTTAGGAATTTCGTCTCCAGTTCAACTTAGACTTGACCGCTAATGACTTCTTCTCATTAGTGCTATGAATGCACACGATCTTTTGACAACATACGTTTCCCGAGTACAACCGAGGAAGTAAATTGGAATTTCCATTTCGTGTGCGAGACAGCTTACAAACTTAGGGGGTGACACCGACAGACCAGATATAATTCTCTCGGTGAATAACGTCATCAGTTCTTGGGAACTCAAGATCACTTGTCGCTCTGGACAACAAGAGTGCAGTTGGAGCTTTCCACATTTCATCAAATTAGAAATGAAAATAATATTTTTGGCTCTGATTGTGCAGTGTTGCATCAACTTTGCATTAGTACAGGCCTTCGTGATAACCAGGGCAACCCATGGCAGAGACGCTTTCAAGATACCTGCTTCAATTTGCAAGCGAAATGGCGCCCAGTCAGGCAGCGATTGCAAATCTTTCTACGCAGTGGATAGAGCTCGCGATTGCTCCTGTATGTGTCCTGCCAGAAATGCGACATTTGCTTTTCACAAAAGGCGATGGTCGTGCGTTGAAAACCGAAAACTGAGGGGACAATTAAATCGAGGTAAGAGAATACTGTTTATTAAAAAAAAATTCACATCACTTGGCTTTTAATGGAAAGTGTAGGAACGAAAGTTTGAGCTCAGAAAAGGATCCCTTTAACTTAGAGACATTTAATTTTAGGGTGGTATCATATTTAAAGGGTATTGTTCTAAAAGGGCGCATTTTTGGAACTTCATATTTTTCGGTTTAGGCCGAAATTAGAATGCACTAAAAAATCTGAAAGCGTACACAAGCCCTGATATTTGAAAGAATGTCGGTTTTCATGAACCTTGAGCGTATTTTAGGAGAAGACGTATTATAAATGGAAGTAGTTTTGCATGTTAAGAATCGGTGAGCTCATATTTGGAAAGAATTTGCGTCTAAAGAACCGATTTTGGGCACTCAGTACGTCAGCAAAAGGATATCAGAATTCTTTCATCTCGAAACAGTACTCATATGAACTCGAAAACAACTCTTTGAAATTGCTTTTAGTGTAAGACAAGATAAACATTGGGTTTTTCGTAAAATATACAATTTGAAAAACTCAGAACAAAACCCATTAACGGTTTAGAAAAATGAACTTTGATCGGTTTGTTGCTATCGACATCATAGATCTGCCAACAGCAAAACGTATCTATGATATTGAAATGCTTTTAGAAAGCTTGATTTGAAATTCCTTCCTAATCAATATGGTTTTTCTGAGAGAGCTTAATATAGAACAAGAAAAAACTTACAATTTTAATCTAGACTGGGTAAAAGCTGAATTTATTCTTTCTTGGAATCCATTTTGATTTGTGCTGCAACACATTTTTAGCGCCTAACAGTTTGAAGTCCCGAGATATATTTGCGTTGTTTTAACCTTTCGGTTTTCTGTGAATCAATACTAAACTTATGCAATTAAGCATGAAAATATGCCCCAAACCCCCCGAAAAAGAAAACAGCAACCAGAAGATCGCATCGAGGCAGAGTGTTATTTCAGTCAAGGAATCAAATATGACAGTAAGTTAGAGCTCTAAGATTTCTTTTGCTGTAGTTTTTTCAATTTTTCCTCATGATACATTTTGAGCAGAACATTGCGACGAATGTCTCTTTTATTGACATTCTGTCGATGGACATAAATAACGTGCAAGATATTGGGTTTGTTGCCAGTGTTGCCTTGTGGAATTACCAAAACAAAGTATAGATTTGATTGAGGTAGAACACGGAAAGCTAATAGATTGCTCAAGGTAATTAAACGAGGCCCAATTTTGGTTTCGTTACGAGACTTTTCAAGTCAATACGCCTCAGTAATATAATATATGAAAGATCATCCCAGTTGTGAATTCGAACGAATTTCATAAGGTATGCACTGTTACGACAATAGCGGATTCGAACCCATGGCCCGGTTGATTAGGGTCAGGCACTGATATCGCAGAGTTAATGCCTTCGAATCCCGTTCAAGCATGATATTAATTTCGCTTTTTTTTCATGAGTGCCTAAGTTGCGTTCACACTGCAATACTCTTTCATGGGGCATATCTTTCTCTCGCAGTTCAACTATACGATATTTCATATATTCACTAAACCGCAGTGATTGCAAACAAAAATCAAAGGGGCCTAAAAACTATCTGTTGCTATGACAACATACTGTGTTTTGTTATGTGCGTAATTTCCGTTACGAATTCCAAGCAGAAGGAACCTTTAGTGAAATATTAATCATAAGCATAGCTTTTTCAAGGTAGAGAAATAATAACAAGAAAACTTCATAATCAAAGATAGCTGATCATTGAAGAGGCGGAGAATAAGATCTTAATAGATTACGAACAAAGCCGTGTTAAAAAACGTACTTGTCTAATAATAGGTCGCCAATTTTAACAAGATTCGTTATCTGTGAAGACGGTCAGTTGTATGTAAACGTTATATTAACTACGCATATTATGCAAGAATAAACACAACATCTCTATCATTTTTAATTCATAGGCTGTGGTTTTATTACTTCGTTTACTACGGAGAATGCAGACAAACGCTTACCAACACTAGCCTTTGGTGAGCGGAGAGAAATTTCACTGTGGTTTGTTTTCTGGCAGTTCTGGACTTGCACATTGGATATTCGCTCTTCTTGGTATTTGGGATGCAGGGGCTCGAAAATTTCCTTAAGAAATTACTACAACTCTGCGGTGAAACTTTTCACGCTTAGTCGCAGAGACTCAAATGCGCCATACGTCCTGAGGGTAAGTGCACATTTTCAAATGAACTTGGGTTATCTTTAGCAGAGACGGATCCACAATTTTTCAAGAGGTTTGTAGGGATGAATGATACCTTGAAGTTGTAAAATCAATGGGGCATGCCTCCAAAATGTTTCAATTTAGGCAATGGAAACTAATTTAAAGTTGTTACACCACATATAGTATAGCACTACCACAAAGCAGAAATTACAATGAAGTGAATGTCCAACGTGTTTCTATTCATTTCTTCTGTAATATTCACAATTTTATTTTGCTTCTTCAAAAAGGGGATGGCCAGCCACCCAATCCATCCCCCTAAATCCGCCCCTGCTTTATCCTATTCCAAGAACAATAAACTCCTAATCTATTTCAAAAGCTACAATATCCATACAATGCAAGACAGACAGGAGGCTCGAGCATTTATATAGAAACTGAAGGGAACCTCGTGGCTTATGTGGTAATCTAACGGAGCTAATATTTCAAGAATGGCAATTAGCAAGGCAAATGGATATTGCTTTGGTTTCAAGAGGTTCCAAGTGTTTTCATTCTGCAGCTTCTGTGATACTGTACGTGTAGAATGACATTTTGCATTTTTTTGTGACTGGTGGAATTCCATTTTTGGGATCACTTGGGACTTTCTCTGGGCGTTTTTTCAAATCCCAGGAAGTTTGTGTAATGTGATAAAGAAACACGATGGAGAACAAAATTTCAGAATTTTTTAGCCTGTCATTTTGAGGAGACGGTTTGCTAAATACGTTTTAGTAGTGAGATAACTTCAGGGTACCTCATGAAGTAGTATTCACATTGTTTTCTTTTTAAGACTGCATCTAGAGAGAGAATGTAACAAAATAAGACGTGTGAAAAACCATGTAAATTAATGGAGAGACTAAAAAAAATTGGTTTGAATAGATACAATTCTGAGTGAGCTTTTAATGCTTGATTTTCCATCTGCAGATTGTGTGTGATATTGCACTACTGTAAAAAAACACAGCTAATGACTGTCTAAGAATTTGCAGAGATAGTATGACAAATGGTTCACGCTTATTTGCTGATACGGTAATCCAAGAGGGATATTTTAACAAAGTAGGGATAATCAAATAAATCTCATAGAGAAAAAAGGGTAACAAATTCGAACGTGTGAGAAACTATGAATTTTAATTGACAGACTAAAAGAAGTTGGTTTGAAAAGATATAATTCTGAGTGAGATTTTACTGCTCGATTTGTCATCTGCAAATTGTGTGTGATATTGCACAGCTGTAAAAACAGCTGTTGACTTTCTAAGGATTTGCAGAGATTTTGTGACATTAGGAAGCTTTCTCAATATGGTAAATGATTATTTGCTGATGCGCGCGGTAATCCAAGGATATTTTTAACAATGTAGGGATAATCAAAAACATTTTGGTCGTGACTAAGAATCTTTGTATATAGGAGGACACTGATATTGATTATTATTATACATTGAACCCACTATCTCTTTTTTGATTGGCCGAAAGCGTACAGTGAATTTTCGAAATCAGCGCCTGTGACGTCATAACTGCAGATACAATAATCATGTCAAGGACACTCAAGGTCACGGGTAATCATGTCATGTATGACCGCGGTGCATGATTTCTACGGGTAATCATGTCAAGTTCGCGCGCTTTGTGTTGCTTGCCGTCAGTGAAGAAGCAAAAACATGACTTCCATTTCTTTTCCTTCAATGTATAATAAAACAATTATTGGATTCGGTTTTTGTGATATCCAGAATAATCAAGGTCTCGGTAAGGGTTATCAG